TATGGCTATATGGGAGTTGTGTGGCGCTGATACTTTGCATCAATCTTCAGTGTACCTGGGATACAATGTATCAGTAAACCTGGTACAGGTAGAAGGTCTGGTGCCTGCCTATGGAGTTCTTTGCTATATGTGCATGGTACCAAAAAAAAATTCTATGTATTAGAGTAAGACTGGACCAGGTAGAGGGGCTGGTGACCACCCATTTGGTTTTCTGGTAGATGTCTGAAATAAATAGGATTTTATGTATCAGAGTGAGCCTGGACCTGGTAGAGGGGCTGGTGACCACCTATATGGCTTTCTGGTATATGTCCATAATAAATAGTATTCTATGTAGTATGTATCACGGTGAGCCTGGACCAGGTAGAGGGGCTGGTGACCACCTATATGGTTTTCTGGTATATGCTTGTCATAAATAGTATTCTATGTAGTATGTATCACAGTGAGCCTGAACCAGGTAGAGGGGCTGGTGACCACCTATTTGGTTTTCTGGTATATGATTGTAATAAATAGGTTTCTATGTATCAGAGTGAGCCTGGACCAGGTAGAGGGGCTGGTGACCACCTATTTGGTTTTCTGGTATATGATTGTAATAAATAGGTTTCTATGTATCAGGGTGAGCCTGAACCAGGTAGAGGGGCTGGTGACCACCTATATGGTTTTCTGGTAGATGCCTGTAATAAATAGGTTTCTATGTATCAGAGTGAGCCTGCACCAGGTAGAGGGACTACTGACCATCTCTTGCGATTTTTACTATGTGTTTATCTGTGATAAATAGGATTTTATGTATTAGAGAGTGCCTGGACCAGGAAGAGGGACTGGTGACCAATTATGGGGGTTTCTGCCATACGTGTACAATAACTAGATTTTATGTACAAGACAGACCCTGGGCCATGTGGAGGGGGCTGGTGACCACCTAATGGGGCTTCTGCTATATGTGTGTGATAAATAAGATTGTAAGCATGAGTGTGAGCCTGAATCAGGTAGAAGGGCTGTTGACTACCTATTTTGGGCTTTCATGCCTTATGTGTATAATAGCTAAGATTTTATGTATCAGAGAGACCCTGTGACAGGTAGAGGCTGGTGACCTCATATTGGGGCTTTCTGTGCTTTATTTGTGTGTATTACATAAAACTGTATTAATGAGAGTGAGCCTGGACCAGGTGGAGGGGCTGGTGACCACATAGGGAGGTTTCTGCCTTATGTGTATAATAACTAGGATCTCATGCATCAGAGAGAGAGCCTGGTCCAGGCAGATGCTGGTGACCACATATTGGGGATTTCTGCGCTATGTGTCTATTAAATAGAATTTTAATAATAAGAGTGAACCTGGACCAGGTAGAGGGGCTGGTGACCACCTAGTGGGGGTTTCTACCTTATGTGTTTAATAATAACTAGGATCTTATGTATCAGAGAGAGAGCCTGGTCCAGGCAGAGGGGCTGATGACCACCTATGGGGGTTTCTACCTTATGTGTATAATAACTAGGATCTTATGTATCAGAGAGAGAGCCTGGTCCAGGCAGAGGGGCTGGTGACCACCTATGAGGGTTTCTGCCTTATGTGTATAATATTAATAACTAGGATTTTATGTATCAGAGATTGAGCCTGGTCCAGGCAGAGGGGCTGGTGACCACCTATGAGGGTTTCTGCCTTATGTGTATAATATTAATAACTAGGATTTTATGTATCAGAGATTGAGCCTGGTCCAGGCAGAGGGGCGGATGACCACCTATGGGGGTGTCTACCTTATGTGTATAATAACTAGGATCTTATGTATCAGAGAGAGAGCCTGGTCCAGGCAGAGGGGCTGGTGACCGCCTATTGGGGCTCTCTGCTCTATGTGTGTAGTAAATAGAATGTATGCACCAGAGTGAGCCTGGTACAGTTAGAGAGAATGGTGACCACCATAGGGACTCTGTGCCTTATGTATGTATAATAAAATGATGTATCTGCGTAAGCCAGATAGAGATGCTGGTGGCCACCTATAGGGTTCTCAGCTCTATATACTGTATATGTGTAATAAATAGACTTTCATGTGAGGATACAATGTATCAGTGACTTTTGTGTCTGTGCAGATTGTGTTACCCATAGGGGCTCTCCATTCTATTACGTGTATAAATAGGATTTTGTGTTGGAATACAATGTATCACAGTGCAGGTAGAGGTGGTGCTTGGCTATAGGGCTCTGCGTGCTATATACGAAGGCATAAATAGCATTTTTTTTTTATCTCAGCCCAGCAAAATTGGGGCAGTGTGATAGATGTATTGTGCTGCTTATCAGTAACTGGATATTGTAGTACAGGCATGTATCAGATGGCTACAAATTGCTGTTTATGCAGTGTGCAGAGCTCCAGATAGCATGCATGTGTGTCTCTGCATGTGTTATATTGTTACAGTGAAAAATAAAACACTCACATACTACTTGCATGTGATCCATCATGCTACCAGAATGCTGCCACAGAAATGATTCTTCTATATTGAGAAGTGTGTGTGCTATCCTCAATGTAATAAATCTGGTCACAGTTCAGGTGGAGTCAGATAATCCCACACAAAGCACACGGCAACATTATATAATATTTCATCTTTATCGGACGTGTATTTAGCTGTGAGATTAAAAATTGTGTCATTGTTGTACTGAGCTAGACTGGAAGGCTTAAAGGGGGGTCATTACCTACCCATAGAGGTCTGCAACACTGAGTGGGTGTGGGGGTACAACAGCTCCTGGGGGGGCAGTGTGGGCGGGAAGGTAATAGTGTCAATAATCACTTCTTTTCCTGGAATAGAAAAGTTAATAATGGGAGTTTAATGATACTTTGTTGTATCTGGGCATAGACTGTATATTATTATTATTATTTATTATATAGATCTATTCTTTCTCTCTTTCTTTTATCTTTTTGTTCTGTCTTTCCTCCTTTTGCTTTCTTATTGTCTTCTTTCTTTAATTTTCTCCCCATACCTTTCTTTTTCTTTCTCCCAATACTTATTTTCCTTTTCTTTTTTTCTTTCTTTCTTTCTTTCTTTCTTTCTTTCTTTCTTTCTTTCTTTCTTTCTTTCTTTCTTTCTTTCTTTCTTTCTTTCTCCCTTTATTTTTTGTCTTTTTTTTTGTTTTCTTTCCTTTTCTTTCTTTCTTTTGCTTTCTTAAGCTGCCCACACACCTTGCGGTTTAAAACAAGCGACAGCTTCCCCGCTGTACATTTAGCCTTGCTTGCCAAAGCAGGGCTAAATGTAGAAAACAACTACCCGCCCGGCGCCTGGTACTGCATGTCCTGGGTGTCGGGGGATTGGAATTCCACACCCCCTGCTGCCCCGAGGCCGGGCCTTGGTTGGCCTTGTGGGAAATCCAACCCTGACGGCTGCCCCATCCTGCCCCGATCATCACAAGCTTCAATCAGCTGTAGTTAAAGAAAAAACATCTGGACGAATTGCGCGTATTTTCGTTTGCGCATGAGCAGTGTTAATCGTACGAATTTTGAGGTACGGAAACACCACCAACCTTGCGAATATCGGACGAAAACGCGATCGCTTACGCTAAAATCAGCCGATAATCATAAGGTGTATGGGCGGCTTTATTGTCTTATTTCTTTTATTTTCTCCCAATATCTTTCTCTCTCCCAATACTTATTTTCCTTCTTCTCTTTCCTTTTTTTTTCTCATTATCTATTCATATATTCTTTCTTTCTCTCTCTCTCTCTCCCATTCTCTCTCTCATTTTTTCTTTCTCCCTCCCTCTTTATATATATATCATCTAATCTATCTATTATCCATCCTTGAATCCGTCCAGGAATATGATATTGATGTTGTAGAGTTGAGCCTGGTTGCAGCCCTGACTACGTGCCTGACCTCAGTGGGATGTGTATAGCAGAGGTGTGGTCTATTTAAAGATTCTTGCGGTTCACTATTGATATTTTTCAATTAATCTGTGTATAATACGATGTAGGGAGCACACTGCAGTCCTTGCTGTATGAAAACTGAAGCTACACTTTATTTTTGTGCAGATGGAGGGGCCTCCTTGCTGAGAGCACAACTTGCCTCTATCAATGTGGGTTCCTTGTAATAAAATATTCATTTGCTGATGGTTGGCTTGTACTGTGGAGATTGTGCTTCGAGCCTGAGCGGTGTGGGACGGGACCTGCCTGCAGAGCTGAGTGGGGGGCCCAGTGAACTGATTTAACCCTTTGTGCACTTGGCCTTGTATTCAAGACATAGTGATATTATAGGGTTTGGGGGTGCTGCTAACCAGTGGCGTCACAAGGGGGGTGCAGGGGGTGCGTCCCGCACCCGGGTGACACCATTAGAAGTCATTTTGGTGTCACCCCCTCTGAAAGACGGGCACTCGGTCATGGACCGAGAGCACGACAGTTTTGGGACCCGGTGGCATACCTTATCCTGCCTGGTGACTGTCTCTGCCGGCATCCATCACCAAGATGGCCGCCGGCAGGTATCAATAACATCGCCGCACACCTGGCCCCAGGACGCCCCTGCTGCTAACCACTCTTTGTAAACCCCTCTGTCACATGTGACACTTGGAATAAAACAATGTAGAAATTGCTTTTACTTTTGTAGATTTAATTTAAAGACTAATCAGCAGTGTAAAATATGAGATGTTTGCATCATAGGTGCACCCAGAATGAATTCAGCATTTCATTGTGATATTTACCTGAAGGTAAAAACATGTATTTGAACTGCTGCATGTCCGGACACTCTTAGAGTCAGACTGGAAACCTTTAGGGACAGCCCCATGCTATACCCCGCCAGCAGCTGGTTTGAACTCTCGCCACATAGATTGTAAAAGGCATTTGTTGTTGAATTTTGATTGGCTG